AACCCAAAACTAATAATAAGAAAAATCTAACAATAGTCTGAGTCCAAAGAGAATGGAGTAAACAAAAATGAAGGATGTCGTGGAAGCCTGAAAGAACTGGTTTACCCTTGAAATCTGGTCTCGATCACTGATCTCCTAGCTGAGGTTTATCAATAGCCGGCTGAAGATGCCCTGTACTTATCAAATAACTAGCAAATGTAGTATCAGTATACAACCATAGTGTAAAAGTAGGATCACACAACTATTCCAGTAAGCGAAACATATATAAGAAGTCACAACATAGTAAACCTGACATGTACAAAATATATATACACATTGGTTATCATTTTAGAGCAACATATAGTCTTCCAATATCAATCACCACTATATATGAACGTAATCATCACAAGTAGATACACAACACAATTCAATGGTCCTCTTATGGAACCCATTTCCAAACTGTTAGCGTACCAAAACGTGGTACTTGATCCCAATTAGTGTGCCGGACGTGACACCCGATCCCATAAATGCGCTGAAACGTGGCACCCGATCTAAGTTAGTGTGTCGGAACGTGACACGTGATCAAATCATCGTACCACAATCACAAACACAATGAATATTTTCATAATCATAGAATCAAGTGTTGATTCATGACATACAATCATTCATTCATACTCATTTACATTAGGTTTGATCAATAGTGCTACATTTACATACATACATGCATTACAATGAAGCAATTACCCATATACAACACACAAACATGAAATCAAATCATCACCTACCTCAAACCCAATTTTGAATCCTCCTAAGAAACATGAATCTTTCCTTTCCTAATTGTTTTCACTTGTTCGTGGTCTAAAAACAAACAATTAACACATGGATCAATAAACGAGGCCTAATTACCCAGATTATTATCAACATTATTAACCCTAAGCCAAACCCAATATCCCAATACCCAATTTAGGACCTTTTCCACCATTAATTGCTAGTCAAGAATGAACTATTGCAAAAAATGACATTTTTGGGGGTATTTACCTTATTTATGTCGGGACTATGCCGTTACAGCAGGACCCATCCCGTTATAGCGGGACCCATCCCGCTACAACGGCCTGCACGGAGACACAATGTTTGAATTTGAGTTCCAAGCCCCCATTTAACAACACACTTTCAACCCTTGACATTCAAAAACTACCTGTTTACGCTAAGATTAGTTTTGGGAGTTCTACTCGCCCCAATTTGATTCCGTAAAGTTGCATGGTTTCCGTAACGTCTTGGCTATCCACTCATGTCATGAAATTCATTATTAAATCTCTCATGAAATAACAAATTTTCCTAGACCATATTGACTCAAATTTCGTCCAAATCTGGACCAGGCTAGGAATTCCCAAGTTACTACTCAAAAGTTTTCTTGTCCCAATTCTTTCTCCATTGGTTTTTTCATAACGACGGGAACAGGTCGTTACAAGTATCCTTAAAAATAGATATGACCACTTGAAGATGGTCATACATCAAAAAATGCACGATATGATTGGATGCATCTAAGGCTACAAGACTTTAAGTCTAGAGTATAATTCTACCATGTTCAAAATCACTTCTCAGTTGAAACTATGTAGAGAACTGGTTAGTGAGACTGATATGATAGAAAAGATGTTCTACATTTTTCATGCCTCAAATGATTTCCTGGAGCAACAATATCGAGAGAAAGATTTCAAAAAGTATTTTTAACTAATTTCTCATCTTCTCGTGGCTGAGCAAAATAATGATTTATTAATGAAAAATAATGAGAATCCACTTAATATGTCTGAATCACTTCTTGATGTGAATGAGGCGTACACCCACCATGCAAGGCGTGAAAAAGGTCACGGACCTGATCGTGGTGGTGAACGTGAACGTTGGTCATAATTATGGTCAAGAAAGAAATTCTTTTCCTGGTGTTCATCATTCATCAAATAAAAATCACCATCAAAAAAACAAAAGAAAGGATGAGAAACGTGAAGCAATTAGGGTAGGTTGTTTTTGATGTGGTGGAAAAGGTCATTGTGCACGTGATTATCGTACTGTTAAACACTTGGTTGAACTTTAACAAGATTTTCTAAAGAAGAAACAAAAAAATTCTGAAGCGAATTTTGTCTCTAAAAATCAAGTTGACATCACACACTTGGATGTTGCAGATTTCTTCGCACATCCTCAAGGAAAGATAGATCACTTGATTGGTGATGGTTTTGTTGTCATGGAGGAGTGAACATTTTGTTTGTCTTCTTTTAGTAGTTATTAAATAAAACCTGTAAAGATAGTTGTTTACATGAGTGTTAGTTTTTCTTTTTTTAGTTAGTATTAATTAGTTTTGTAATTTATTATTGAATTGGACTTGAATTTTATTTTGTATATTTTATTTGTTTGCTGAAAAGAAAAGAAAAAAAACTGCATCTTATTAATGTACATTTTATTTGTATTTGAAACTCGGATATTTGAGCTGATTTTTATATTTGGAAAATTTTTCGAGGAATATTTTTTAGTCCAACACTAAACCCTATTATGTGTTTATAGTAAACTAAGACTTAAATCGGTCTAGTGAATAAATAATACAATTACTATTAGTTTGTATTATACTAGGTTTTGTATATTATTATTGTATGATGGTTGAATTTTTAATATTTTGAGTGTATTAAGTATATCAAAAATAGTGTATTGAAAAGCTATTGAATATCTATTTAATTATTGTACACTAGCTAATGAATTTTTTTTACTTCTAAAAATGTCAAGTAACACAACTTATTCATATAAGCAAGAAAAAATAAAATAAAAAATGTACATTGGTATACTATATGCATGTGTTTATTACTTTATTAATTACATATTAGAAGATGGTTATTAGTTTATTATACTATCTAACTTTTACTTTGTAACAAAGGCTTAATAAACATTTATTTCATTTTATTTGAAGATATGGACAATTCTCAAAGTATATTATCTAATTATGAACACATTTGCTTGATTGATTCTGGTACAACACATACGATATTCAAAAATGAGAAATATTTTTCTCATTTAAGTATGAGCAAAATAAATGTTACTATAATTTTTGGTAGTACTAATACTATTGAGGGCTTTGGAAGAACCATAATAATTTTGCCTAGGGGAACTAAACTCATCATAAATAATACTATGTTCTCTCCCAAGTCTTGGAGAAACTTGTTGAGTTTTAAAGATATCCGTAAAACTGGTTATCATATCCAATCAATGGATGAAATAAATCTTGAATAACTTGGTATCACCAAAAATGTTTTTGGGTAGACATGCGTTATTGAAAGTTTTCTTCTTTATCTTCTGGCTTGGATAGGACAAGAATTATTTCAATTGAGGCATATTCTATAGTAAATCAGATGTTTCTTGATTTCAATACTTTTGTACTTTGGCATGATTGTCTAGAACATCCTGGGTCTATAATGATGAGATGTATTATAGAAAATTTAAATGGACATCCATTAAAGGAGCTAAAAAATCTTTTAAATGGTGAGGTTTGTTGTACTGCTTGTTATCAAGTCAAGTTAATTGTGAGACCATCACCAATGAAAGTTGAGATTAAGTCCCCTGCGTTCTTGGAACATATACTTGAGAATATTTGTGGACCTATTAACCCACCTAGTGTGTCATGTAGATACTTTATGGTCCTAATAGATGCTTCTTCTAGATGGTCTCATGTGTGCCTATTGTCATCACGTAACTTGACATTTGAAAAATTGTTGGCACAAATAATATGATTAAGGGCACAATTTTTTGATAATCAGATTAAGTCTATTCGCCTTGATAATGCTGCAGAGTATTCCTCCCAATCACTTAATGATTATTGCCCATCAATTGGGATAAAAGTTGAACACCATGTTTCTCATGTTCATATTCAGAATGGCCTTGCTGAGTCATTAATTAAACGTCTGCAGTTGATAGCAAGATTGTCACGCCCCGAGGCTACCCCTGGACTGAACACGGGACCTAGGATCACGAGTGACCCCAAGCTAACCCTGTTGGCATAATCATAAGCATACTAAAAGATAAAATGAATCAATAATAACTAAGCGGAAGCTAAATCATGATAAAACTAAAATGATGGCGAATACCCATACACTAATTCTGAATAAAGATAACTGAGAGTTTGAATACAAGATAAAAGTCAAACTCTAAGACTAAAGCTGAAACTAACTATGTCTGAAATAAAACCTCTACTGACTAGAAATGCTGGGACATGCCCCAGCTAGATCTAGTAAATCTGAAACTAAAGCTAAAATCGATAAAATAATCATGTCACTAGTCCTCGAAGAATGAGGACTCACCAATGATGTTGTTGAACTGAAGATCGGGAACCGATCTATGCGTGATCTGGAAGCTGAGAACCTAAACCTACATCATGAGAAGATGTAGCGCAGAGTATCCGTCAGTACTTGAAAGGTACTGAGCATGTAGGATAGAGTAACACTGAACAATAACACAACTTAATCAAAGCATATAACTGAGCAATGACATGAGATAAGCATGAGACCAACTAAGAACACGGAACATGAAATACTGAATGCAATGACCAAGTTTATAACATGTTGAGACTGATTACTGAACTACACTAATAATATTGTCAATGCAATAGAATCAGTGTTAGGAATTTGCTTTTTCAACTACAGTTAATTTTACTTTTACTGCTTTATATTAGATAAGACTTAGTCAATTAGTTGTTAGCCATCTATTCTTATTATTTAGGAGTAAGTTACTGAGTTATGAATATGCTAGTCGTGGTTTACTGCTTTATGTTTTTCATTCCAGTCTTATAAATGTAATCTGAAGACATCAATAAAAATGTTCTTCTACCAATATTCTTCTTGACTTCTTTGCTTTCTAATAACTCATACTTCTAAAATTTACCAACAATTGGTATCTAGAGCTTTTTTATCTTGCGGGATCTGTGGGTAATTTTGTGAGTGATTGTTTCAAGTGCCTCAAGCACCACAAACAGAAACCACAAAAGATTAAAAATGGAAGAAAGCTCAAGTTTCTCGGCAATGGCATCTCTTGTCTTCAATAGTGAAAATTTTCACATGTGGGCAGTGAGGATGGAAGCTTATCTCGATGCTTTAGATCTTTGGGAGGCAATCGAAGAAGACTATGAAGTTCTCGGAAACCCAACAATGGCTCAACTAAAAATTCACAAGGCCAAGAAAACCAGAAAATCTAAGGCAAAGGCATGTCTTTTTTCAGCAGACTCTTCAACAATTTTCACTCTTACATGTCTCTAAAATCAGCAAAGGCCATCTGGGATCATCTCAAGGCATAATATAAAGGAGATGATTGTATCAAAGGTATGCAAGCGCTGAATCTCAATAGATACTTTGAGTTACAGAAGATGAAAGAATCGGAAACCATTAAAGAATACTCTGACAGGCTTATGAGCATAGCAAACAGAGTAAGATTACTTGGTTTTGAGTTTAAAGACTCGCGTATTGTTGGAAAGATTCTTGTTACTGTATCAGAAAGATTTGAAGCCACCATTACCACTTTGGAGAACACCAAGGATCTATCAAAAATCACTTTGGCGGAATTATTGAATTCCTTGCAGGCTCAAGAACAAAGAAGGGTTATGAGAGAATATCGAATTAGACAGGGAGCATTGGCGGGCAAACATGAAGAGAGTAGAAGATACAAAAAGAAAAACAATAAGAAGAACCATCCAACAAATGGAGAAGGAGCAGCTCGCTACAACAACAAAAGCAAAGCAGGTATCTTTAAAGGAAACTATCCTCCTTGTAAGCATTGTTGAAGGAATGGGCACGCGTCGTATAAGTTTTGGAAAAGGCCGGATGCTAAATACAGTAATTACAACCAACTTGGGCATGAAGCAATTATCTGCAAGAATAAATTGCAGCAGCAAGATACAGACGCCCATGTTGTTATTGAACAAGAAGAGGATCAACTCTTTGTGGCATCGTGTTTTGCAAGCAATGTTTCAACTGAGGCTTAGCTGATTGATAGTGGATGCACAAACCATATGACTCATGACAAAGAGCTCTTTAAAGACTTGAAGCCTACTAGAGTTACAAAAGTCAGAATAGGTCATGGCGGTCATATTCTGGCAAAAGGAATGGGAACTATTACAATTGAAACACAATCAGGTACTAAAACAATTTCTGATGTTCATTATGTACCAGATTTAGATCAGAACTTGTTAAGTGTTGATCAATTGCTAGAAAAAGGTTTCAAATTGTATTTCGAAGATAAACATTGCTTGATCAAGGAAGCTTCAGGACATGACTTGTTTAAAGTCAAAATGAGAGGTAGAAGTTTCTCATTAAATCCATATGAGGAAGAACAAGTGATGTATTCGGCAAGAGAAAATGCTTCCGAGTTATGGCATAAGAAACTTGGACACTATCATTATCAAGGGCAAGGGCTTCTCAAAATGCAAGAATTGATGATAGTCGAGAACCTTTCAAAACTGGGAGCGAGTTCAAAAAATTGTCGGGCTTCTAAATTTGGAAAATAAAGTAGACTTCCATTCACAAAGGCAACTTGGAGAGCAACAAGAAAGTTGCAGCTGGTTCACACCGATATTGGAGGAGCCCAAAGGACTCTTGCACTTAAAGGTAGTCTTTATTCTGTTATTTTTATTGATGATCTGACCCGAATGTGCTAGATTTATTTTTTAAGGTACAAATCGGAGGTCAAGAGCATTGTTTGGAAGTTGAAAGCGAAGTTGGAAAATGAAAGTTGCTGCAAAATTCAAATTTTACGATCTGACAATGGCAAGGAGTACACTTCTCATCAGTTTGGTCTATTTTGTGAAGAAACAGTGATTGAACGTCAACTTGCTGCTCCTTATACTTCAGAACAAAATGGAGTTAATGAAAGAAGAAACTAATTTATCATGGAGATGGCAAGATGTATGCTGCACGAAAAGAATTTGCCAAAGATGTTTTGGGCAGAGGCACCAAATACAATTGCGTTCCTACAAAATCGACTTCCCTCAAAAGTTATGAAAGATCAAACTCCTTTTGAAGCATGGTATGGATACAAGCCTCCGCTGCATTTTCTTAAAGTGTTTGGTTGTCTTTGTTTTACCTATGTACCACAGGTCAAACGAGATAAACTAGATAAAAAGGCTGCCCCGGGCATTTTTATTCGGTACAGTCATGTTTCAAAAGGGTACAAAATCTTTCAACCTAAAGGTGAGAAGATAGTTATCAGCAGAGATGTCCACTTCATGGAGAATGAAGAATGGGATTGGGATGACTCAAGGAATTCCGTCCAAAAAAAAGCTCGTGGTTAAATGAAAGGGACGATGATCCACCAGCTAGGGGACCTCGATTGCTCTCTGATATATATGAGAGATGCAATGTTATGATTCTTGAGCCTGGTAACCCTAAAGATTCTCTCAAAGACGCCAAGTGGAGAAATGCAATGGAGGAGGAGCTGTTTATTATCGAAAAAAATAATACGTGGCAGCTTGTTGACAAACCTCAAGGCAGAAAAGTAATTGGGGTAAAGTGGGTCTTCTGAACCAAGCTAAATACTGATGGTTCAATCAACAAGCATAAAACAAGGCTTGTAGTTAAGGGTTATGCGCAGATTTTTAGTGTAGATTATTCTGACACTTTTGCTCCAGTTGCTAGGCTTGACACGATCAAATTGCTTATAATTGTTTCTGCACAACGTGTCTGGAAAGTGCATCAGATGGATGTCAAATCATTATTTCTTAATGGCATTCTTGAAGAAGAAATTTATGTCGAGCAACCTGAAGGGTTTGTCATAGATGGAAAGGAAAATAAAGTCTATCGACTACATAAAGCTCTTTATGGCTTAAAACAGGCACCAAGAGCTTGGTATAGTCGAATAGATGATTATTTGCTCGGTCTTGATTTTGAAAAGAGTCTTTTAGAATACACACTGTATGTTAAACATACTAGCAGTGAGATTCTTGTTGTTTCTCTTTATGTGGATGACCTTTTGATTACAGGGAGAAGTGAAAAGCTAATTGATGAGTTCAAGCAAGATATGATGTAAGCTTTTGAAATGTCTGATCTTGGTCTTATGACATATTTCCTTGGAATGGAGATTACACAAGGAAAAGATGAGTTTCTCGTTTGCCAGAAAAAGTACGCAAAGGAAATTCTCAAGAAATTCAAAATGGAAAATTTCAAAGAGATTAGTACTCCTAGAACCAAAAGGATAAACTGAGTAAAGATGATGGAGCCGAAAAGGTGGATGAGACATACTTCAGAAGTTTCATTGGGCGATTAATGTATCTGACATCAACTAGACCCGATATATTGTATGATGTAAGTGTTTTATCAAGATTCATGCATTGTCCTAGTGAAGTATATTTCAGGCAGCCAAAAGAGTTGTGTGATACATCAAAGGAACCATCACCTATGAAGTCAAGTTTTAGAAGAGTCAACCTATGAAGCTTTGTGGGAATTCCGACAGTGATTGGGGTGGTTCCAAGGATGATGCAAAGAGTACTTTAGGGTACTGTTTTAGACTTGGTTCTGGAATTTTCTCATGGAATTGTAAGAAACAAGATATTATAGCTCAATCTACTGCCGAAGCTGAGTTTGTGGCAACTGTAGCAACAGTAAATCAAGAATTGTGACTGAAGAAAATTCTGGTTGATTTGCATATGGAACCAACTGGAAGCATCAAAGTGTTCGTGGACAATGAAGTAGCAATAGTTATATCTCAGAATCCTGTGTTTCATGGAAGAACTAAGCACTTCAAAATCAAGTTCTTTTTTCTTAAGAGAAGTGCAAAAAGATGGAGATATAACTCTTGTCTACTGCAAGACAGAAGAACAATTGGCAGATATATTCACTAAGCCTTTACCAGTCAGCAAGTTTCAGCTTCTCAAACAAAAAATTGGAGTTTGCAGTTTCCAAAGCAAGGAGGAGTGTTAGGAATTTGCTTTTTCAACTGCAGTTAATTTTACTTTAACTGCTTTATATTAGATAAGACTTAGAGCCCGTTTGGATTGACTTAAAAAAAGTAACTTTTTAAAGTGCTTGAACTTATTTTTAAAATAAGTAGTTATGTGTTTGGATAAAAGTGCTGCAGTTGAAAAAAAAGTTGTTGATGTGTTTGGCAAATAAGTGCTGGTAAACACTTTTTTTTATCAAAATGTCTGAAATACCCTTTAAGTTGTTAACATGATAAAAAGTTGATTAATTTAAGGTTTTTTATACTTTAAAAAAATTAAAACAAAATTAATTTATGTTTTACATCCATAAGTAATAATATTTTCCTATCATTCACATATTTCTTTACCATCTAAGAGGAATATAAATTCATATTTCAGAAATAATAATAATAAAATAAAATAATAATAATAAAATAATAATAATAATAATAGTAATAGTAATAATAATAAAATAATAATAAAATAATAAAATAATAATAGTAATAGTAATAGTAATAATAATAATTATAATAATAATAATAATAATAATAATTATTATTATAATAATAATAAACATAATAATAATAATAATAAAATAATAATAATAATAGTAATAGTAATAGTAATAATAATAATAATAATAATAATAGTAATAGTAATAGTAATAATAATAATTATTATAATAATAATAAACATAATAATAATATAATAATAATAATTATTATAATAATTATAATAATAATAATAAAAAAAACATAATAATAATAATAATAATAATTTAACAATAATTATTATTATTATTATAATAATAGTAATAGTAATAATAATAATAATAATAATAATAATAGTAATAGTAATAGTAATAATAATAATTATTATAATAATAATAAAGATAATAATAATATAATAATAATAATTATTATAATAATAATAATAAACATAATAATAATAATAATAATTTAATAATAATAATAATAATTATAATAATAGTAATAGTAATAGTAATAATAATAATTATTATAATAATAATAATAATAATAATAGTAATAGTAATAATAATAATAATAATAATTTAATAATAAAAATAATAAAAATAATAATAATAGTAATAATAATAATAATAATAATAAAATAATAATAATAATAATAGTAATAGTAATAGTAATAATAATAATAATAATAATAATAATAGTAATAGTAATAGTAATAATAATAATAATTATAATAATAATAAACATAATAATAATATAATAATAATTATTATAATAAAAATAATAATAATAATAATAATTTAATAATAATAATAATTATTATAATAATAGTAATAGTAATAGTAATAGTAGTAATAATAATAATAATAATAATAGTAATAGTAATAGTAATAATATAATAATAATAATAATAATAATAATAATTTAATAATAAAAATAATAAAAATAATAATAATAGTAATAGTAATAATAATAATAATAATAATAATAATAATAATAATAATAATAATAATAATAACAATAATAATTCAATATGGGCAATTTTGAAATTGTATAAAAGAATTAAGGGCAAAAAGGTAATATACTTGGTCAACATAAAAGGGCTTTTAAGTTAAAAAAAAAAAGCTCCTCTCACCTAGCTTTTAGTTTTTGGCTTAAAATAAGTCATTTTTGACTTAAAATAAGTCACTTTGATAATTGCCAAACACTCTAATAAGTCAAAAACTGGCTTTTCAGCCAGTTTGACCAGCTTAAAAGCCCATCCAAACAGGCTCTTAGTCAATTAGTTGTTAGCAATCTATTCCTATTATTTAGGAGTAAGTTTGTGAGTTAGGAATATGCTAGTCGTGGTTTACTGCTTTCTGTTTTTCATTCCAGTCTTATAAATGTAATCGGAAGACATCAATAAAAATGTTCTTCTACCAATATTCTTCTTGACTTCTTTGCTTTCTAATAAATCATACTTCTAAAATTTACCAACAATCACACTGAACTGTAACGGAGCTACTAATAACCAACATAAAACCACATGAGCCAAATGTGGAATTCGATGTATACGCCCCATCGAGAGGACCCAATATA